CCGGAAGGTATGTAAAATATTATGTTGACATGAAAACATGTACTGTACACACGCTTGTATGTATCGTAAAATTATATAACAGGGATGAGATACAATAAAAAAATTAATAAATAATAATAATAATAATAATAATAATAAATGTGACGATGATAATATTAAAAAATATTATTATTAATAGTAATAAGGGTGACAGACGGCAGGAAAAGATAAGAAAAGCAGCGGGGGGGGAGGGGGGTGTTTATTGTAGCTATCGTGGCACGAGTAGTAGAATTAAATAATAATGATGATAACAATAATGACAGTAGTAGCTGTGTAGTCGACAACGGCAGAGCATGCACAGCAGGGAAGACCTTCCGTGTTTTTTAATTTTATTTTACAAAGTGGGAAGAAATATGATAACATATCTTATTATTATATTATATGCCACACCCCATCACCCACCAAAACCAATCATCCGCCCACACCCACGCACGAAATATTTATTATACACAACACCAGGCCATAACCGTGGTGCAGTACAGCATGCCCAATCCCTTGGCCGAGATGGAGCTGCTGGGCTTCTGGGGCCTTAAGCTCGTGGCGACAGTGACGGATTGCCACATGTCCGACAGTAAGTAGATCTCTTTCTTTTCACTTTTTTAGTGTGTTTGTGTGTATGTGTGTTTTTTTTTGTGTGTGTATGTTTTGCTTCGGGGTTTTGGAGATATGCATGTTTATTATTTGCCACCCTTTTTGTGTTATATACGTATGCATGTCTGCTGATAAGTATGTTTGTGGTAATAAATGGACATGTATCCAGGCGGCAGGGTGATGACGGCTTTCGTCTTCAAAGTGGTCTCGTACAGGAACGAAGCAGCGTCGACAATGTTGACTCCGGAACCTCTTCCGGAGTCCCTGGAGTACCTGCAGGCCCAAGTGGAAAGGGCCTTGGATGAGAGACGGGAGCTGGAGCGAGTAATGTGGGCAGCCCGGGAGGGGCGAGGTGGTCCTTCCATGCTGTCCTGCAAGCAGCTGGAGACCATCGAGTTGAGCACCATGGGAGAGGCGGCAGAGCTGGAGGTGAAGCGCGCCCTCGAGGTGAGAGGAGGAGGAGAGAGGGAGAGGGATCAGGCATGCATATGGGTATAATATAGTAGGAGAAAAGGGGCTGCCGTGTCGCTGTGTCGCCACTGTCGTGCTGTTGCCGCCGCCGCGGCCGCTGTCGCCGCCGCCACCGCTGCCACCGCCACTGTCACCACCGCTGTCGCCACCGCTGCTTCCACCGCCGCCGTCACCGTCGCCACCGTCGCCACCGCCGCCACCGCCGCCGCCGCTGCTGCCGCAGCTGCTGTCGCTGCAGCCACTGTCGCCGCTGCCACTGACACCACCACCTCTGTAGGTGCTGCCGCTGTTGCCACCCCTGTCGGCACCGCTGTCGCTGCTGCCTCTGCCGCCACCGCTGCTTTGTCGCCGCCGCCACTGTCGCCACCGTCGTTACCGCCGCCACCGCCGCCACCGCCGCCGCTGTCGCCGCCGCCGTCACCACCGCCGCTGCCGCTGTCGCTGTCGCCACCACCGCTGCTTCCACCGCCGCCGCCACCGTCGCCACCGTCGCCACCGCCGCTGCTGCCTCTCCTGCCGCAGCTGCTGTCGCTGCAGCCACCGTCGCCGCAAAGCCACTATCACCACCACCTCTGTAGCCGCTGCCGCTGTCGCCACCGCTGTCGCTGCTGCCTCTGCCTCCGCCCCTGCTTTGTCGCCACGGCCACTGACACCACCACCTCTTGTAGTAGCTGCTGCCGCTGTCGTTACCCCTCTGTCGGCACCGCTGTCGCTGCTGCCTCTGCCGCCGCCGCTGCCGTCACAGCCGCCACTGTCGCCACCGTCGTTACCGCCACCGCCGCTGCTGCCTCTGCCTCCGCCGCTGCTTTGTCGCCGCCGCCACTGTTCTCACCACCGCTATATGCTGTGCCTCTGCTGCCGCCGCCTTGCATGATGTGGGGGATGTTGTGTTGTTTTATTGAAGCCCGAAGTACTATTTTAACATGATTGATAAATAATAAAAAAATGCACACCCGCCCACACACTACCATAAATCCGAATATTTTGTGGATGTACTTAATAATATTGTTACTATTATGCTGCTCTGCTCTGCTGGTAAAAAAGAAGAGCGACCATTTCCCCCGCAACAAAAAGTAATGCCTGGTGCTGGTTTTTGTCCTTGTTGCAGTTTAAGCGCGTCATGTATGCGCCAGCGTACGAG